TCAAAAATAGTAGCAATTCAGAAAACCCGATTTTTATCAATTCTAAAAATGGTAAGAATCTATGATTTATTGGTTACGTTTCAATTTGATAAAAATCGGGAGTATTACCGATTTTTCGTTTTTTTACCTGTGTTGCTAAGATCCTTCTCATTTCGGAAAAGTAATAGTTCTTAAGAAATTAATTAGTCGAAAATTAATGGTAGTTTATTGTTTGTTAAGATAATTGAAATTGTTTGCTAAGATCTACTTCAATTAATTGATCAAAAAGATAATGGTACTCAAAATATAATGATTTATCCCGTCCGGTATAATAGATAATAATGCATTTTTTGTCTTCATGACAAAAAAAAGATATATATTGATTTTTTTGTTATTCTTGTAAATAACTATTAAATTCATGTTGGTTTCAACGTGGAAGAAGATAGCAGAGAAAATCAAGTACAAGTTAAAAGACTGGCAAGAGAAAAACGGAAGAATATCAGATGTCATTGAAAATAGAAAAGCTTTACAACCTTGGGAAGAAAATAAATACATTCATTAATCTATAAGTCAATTTTTACACAAAAAAAAAATGAAAAATAGAAAAATCCTTCTCCAAAAATTAAGTTTAACAAAAGTTGATTTACATAAACATGTTATGTTGACTTCTCTCTGCATGATCACATCATGATCGACAGAGAATATTTATCATGACGCAACCAACTTGGTGAAACTGCAAATTCCTTTTTAGATAAAATTACCAAAAAGGAAAAATCCTGAAATAAAGATTGAATGTTGCACCGGGTTAATTTCTTACGAACACAATAATAATAAATAATAAATACGCACAACATTATCATTGTTATAATTCACATGTGTGAAATTCAAATTAGCCAATCAGAATTTCATACTATATGCCCCAAAATTTTTTAAAATTTAGATTAATCCTGAATTAGAAAATTAAAAATTTTTTTGGTCAAATTTTTATTTTACATTGAGTTAATTATTTATATTTTTTTTATATGTATGTTTTCATATTAATGTAAATTCATTTCATCAATGATCCAATTATTTTTGTTTTTAAAACAAGATGAAATAAATGAAATACATAAAATTTAAAAAACTAAGACTAAAAACTGAAAAGTGAATATGTTTTGTATATTTTAAAATTAAAAAAAAAAAAATTTGTTAGCTTTGTTTTTTTGAATCATTTATCTTGTTGTTATTTATTTCTTGATAGACCACAATTTTTGTATCATCCATAATAAGATATTGAGATCTCCAAACATGATACATATTCATGAATGTTTTCATTATTGGTTCTTTTGATTCACGTATGAATTGTGGATATTGACTTTGAAAAGCTTTTGTAGCATTTGTGAGATAATAATGAGGAATTGAAGGAAACAGATGATGAACCTGATGTGTTCCAATGGTATGAACCACATTATGAAGTAGACCATAGTCACGATCCACAGAGGAAAGATTTCCAAGCACATAAGACCATTGTTCATCAGCATACCAAGGAATTTTTAAATTATTTTCAACGCCATGATGATGTAAGAATGTTGTTATTACTAACCAAGAAGCAAATACAAACCAAGGAAGAAAATAATATTTTATGATGTTCCAAGATCCATAAAGTGTTGATAAGTGATAAAATAGTGCTAAAAATGATAAAACGCTGATCACTGAAATAAAGGCACCAACACGATGATTTTTAAAAAATGGATTTAATGGGTTCATATGACAGATAGATCTTGGACCATAACCTATTATCAAATAAACAATCCAACCAATACCAAAAGCAAAATAAGGTGCAACGAATGTTTCTTCTTTGCCACTGAGTGTTTGTTTTGTATCAGATTTCCTCACAGGAAAAAATACTTCATCTTTATCAATATTACCAGTATTTTTATGATGGTGACGATGACTTAACTTCCAAGGAGTATATGGAACAAGAATTAACAGATGTAGAAAAGTGCCAACTATGTCATTAAACATAGGATAACGACTGAAACTTCCGTGTCCACAATCATGACCCAATACAAATATTGCCCAGAACATTGTTCCTTGGGCAAATGAGTAAGTTGGAAGAATTAACAAATTTTTGATGATTTCAGGGATCAAGGTTGTTTTATCAACGAAAAAATATAGAGAGAATAACACTGCTATTATTGTTAAATCTAAAATTACATATTGCAATGATTTTAATATTGTTGGAGAGAAACATTGTGAAGGAATTTGTTTTTTTATTTCAATAATTGATGGTACTGTTTCTTTGGTGAATATTTGAGAAGAATTAGAAGACGTTGTATCTACCAAAGTTTCAGCTGGTGGAGCCATTGTAAAAAAATTTTTTATAATTTGATAAAAATTTTTATCGTTTAAGTCAAAAAACAAAAAAATTTTTTTTGGGTTGACACAAAATATCTTTGTATATAATGGTCAAAGATTTTCTCATTTCTAACCATATATATATGTTAAAAAAATATACACATGTCAACAAAATGTGAAAATATTGGGGAATGGATAATAAAATTTGAGTTTTCCAAAACGAAAAATTTGAATTTGAATGAAAATTTATTCAAATAATCATTCAAATACTTGGATTGATTATGAATCAATCATTTATTTGATCCATTTATATTTAAAATGCTTCAAGTAAAAATAAAATTAATGCACTTGAAAAAAAAAGTCATTCATGCAAAGAAGGAGTGCAAAAGTGCAAGAGTGAAGAGTAATTATATTTGAATTAATTATTTTACATGTTATGTATTTCTATTTCAAAGGATAAAAAAGTAATAAAATTATATTTATTTGGATGAAAAGGCCAATTTTTATATTATAATGTATTTTTCTGGAAAGAAATCAAACTGACAAATGTTAAAGCAAAATAAAAATATAATAATTGAAATAATACAATGAATTTTTTTTAAACATATTAAAATAATTTTGTTTAGTAGAGGCAAAATTTTGACTATTAAAAATTTGAGAGAAATAATATTACAATGTTGCATCAGTCCAATGGAATGGAGCTGTACATTGGACAATTAATCAAAATTCAGAATTCAAATTCCTAAATCTTTTCAAAGATAGAAAAATTTGATTGTCATCACCATGATTATTTATTATTATTATTATTATTATTATTATTGTTGTTGTTGTTGTTGTTGTTGTTGTTGTTGTTGTTGTTGTTGTTGTTGTTGTTGTTGTTGTTGTTGTTGTTGTTACTATTATTATTACTATTATTATTATTTTAAAATTGCTCTTTTAAAAACAATTAATACATTTATTTAAAAAAAAAAAACAAACAATCAATTTTACTGTTAAGTTCTATTATTTTTATCTCTATACATTCTACCAATAAATTTACCAAGCTCACTGATTATCAATTGAATAATAACACATATTGCGATTTTTGCCCAACCAAATGCTGGCACAGGTGTTAAATCCAACCATTCTCTTAATCCTACACAAATCAGTCAGTTAATGTAAGTTATTTAAAATTATTATTATTATACATGAAAAAATAATTTTATTTGCTTTACCTGGAACATAAGTACCAAGTAATAATGCTATAAAAGATCCAACCACACTAACAATCATCCACTATTTGTTTTTTCAAAAAAAAAGTTTTTTTTTTTAAATTTAAAATTATAATAATAATGAATATATTTCATGATATGTATGTGTATGTGTACCTTATTAGTAAAGAATCCAGTTTTAAAAACACTTTCATATAAAGTTCTAGAAAAAAAACCTTGTAATAATTGCATAGAAGTTAAAGTGGCAAAAGTTAAAGATCTAGCATCAGCTAATTCGATATGTTCTATTGACAAAGCTATTATGAATACACCAAATGATAGTAATGCCATTACAAATGATTGAGTTATTAGTATAGTTGTTGCATATAAATCTAAAACCCCAGCATTTGGATTTCTTGGTTTACGTTTCATTATATCTTTTTCTGCTGGTTCAACTCCCAATGATATTGCAGGTGGAATATCAGCTAAAAACAGACATATGCATACACATAAATATAAATTAATTAAATAGTTAATGATGACCTTTTAAAAAACAACCAATGTTGTAATTACCAATGATATTAGCCCATAAAATCATAATAGTGGTGAAAGGTAGATCAAGATTAATCACAGCACAAATTAACATTATTATAATTTCAGCAGAATTACAGCTCAATAAATACACAATAAATTTCAAAATATTATCAAAAACACGTCTTCCTTCTTCAACTGCTGCAACTATGGTTGAAAAATCATCATTTGATAATATAATATCTGCTGCTTGTTTTGTTATTTCTGTCCCACTCAATCCCATTGCTACTCCTACATCTGCTGCTTTTATTGCTGGTGCATCTATTATTTAAAAAAAAATGAATGATTATTATTATTATTATTATTATTATTATTATTATAAATAAAATTTTAATTATATAAATATATATATTACCATTAACACCATCTCCTGTCATTGCTACTATATTTTTTAGATTTTGTAATGCTTTAACAATTTTTAATTTATTATCTGGACTTGATAAAAGAAATTTTTATTTATTTTAAAAAAAAAACCATATTCATAAAAAAATTTTCTTGAAAAATAAAATATATATTAATTTACCTTACACGAGCAAAAACAGTTGGAAATGGATTTAATTCTGAAATTGCTTCATCTGATAAAAGGTCAAGTTCTGCACCGCGAATTGCATAATCCTATAATAATAATAATTATTATTATTGTAATCTTGATACTATTAAACTTATTACCCTTTGGTCTAAAATTTTAATCAATATTGCCTACCTTATTTTGTGATGAATTTGAATCAAGTATACCGATATCTGTAGCAATAGCAGTAGCAGTAGCAATATGATCACCAGTTATCATTATAACTTTTATACCAGCCAATTTACATATTCTTATTGATTCCTTAACTGCTTTTTTTGGTGGATCAATTAATCCTATAAGACCAATAAATACTAAATTGTTTTCTTCATCTTTTCCTTCTAAATGATGATTACTTGTTGATGTATTTGATTCCGACTCAATATTATCATTATCACCATCATTTATTGGAATATTATTTTTATCATCCTCCATATTAACATTTTCCTTTTCTGTTATAATTTTGTCATCCTCATTTTCATTGTTGTTGACAGTAAAAGTATTTATTGATTTAAGAGCCAATCCAAGTACTCTTAGACCTTTTGAAGCCATTCTTGAACTTTGATCAGAAATAAGATCGACAAATTCTTCAGTTAATGGTGAACTATAATGATCTTCAGAAATCGCATCAAAAATTTCTGCATTATTATTATTTGAAGATTTAATTTCAGCCATATAGTGTGTACATTTTCGTAAAAGTTCTTCTGGTGCACCTTTAGCCAATACTAAAAATTTATTTTTATTTTCTTCTTTTTTTTGTGATGGTGATGAGGAAGAAGAGTCTTTATTTATCTTATATACTACACTCATCAATTTTCTTTCACTGTCAAATGGTTTCTCATGAACTTTTAGAAAGTTATGATTATTCTCCCAATAACTTTTTGAAAATCCGCCTTTTTGTCCTGCAAGAACCAAAGCAACCTATAGATATATATTTATATATATATAAAATAATAATAATAATAAATAATAAATATTAAAAGTATAAATATGAACTTACTTCAGTTGGATCACCAATCCCTTTCCATTGTTTCTGAACATTATTATTATCACTACTATTGTTATTATTACTATTATTATCATTATTTTTATTTTTATTTTTATTATTAATTTCATCATCATCATCTTCTATAATAGATGAATTATTACAAAGAGATGAAATCATAAGAGCAGAAAACAAGTGAGTGGAGGAGTCTTGAGGATTGCGAGGCAATTCTTGTGGTTTAAATAATATACTATCAACATTTTTTTTTTCATTTTCATTTTCATTATCATGATCATTATTATTATTGCTATTATCTATAGAGCTTGAATTTTGCAATGATGAATTTTTTAGAGTGTTTTGTTTCTGTTGTTGTTGTTGATTACGATACTCCAATGAATGAAATATAATTCCACCTTTGTTTGGATCTAGTGATGTTGGTTCGGTAAATGAATAAATGGAATTATCAGCAGTCCATAATTCACATGGTCCCATTTTTCCTTCAGTTAAAGTACCGGTTTTATCGGAACAAATAACAGTAACACTACCCAGTGTCTCAACAGCAGGTAATGTTCTCACAATTGCGCATCTAGCAGCCATACGTATAACACCTATTGCCATTGTAACTGTTGTAACAGCAACTAAGCCTTCAGGAACAACAGAAACTGCTAAACTGTAATATATATATATTAAAATTTAATTATATTATGAATATATTTTTCTATGAAAAAAATTTAAATACGTGCACACACTTTCTCTCCTACATGTATTATTTACCTTATACCAATTGAGACCATAGCATTCACATCACGTTTATATGCAATTCCAATAACAACAACAAGAACACATAATAATATAGCAAGAATTACTAGCCATATTCCAAGTTTAGATAATTTTTTTTGAATTGGAGTTCTCATTTTAGGAACAGAAGTTATTGCTGCACTAATTTTTCCAATCTGTTTATTACAAACATAATGTGTGTGTGAGTGTGTGAGTATAACGCTTATTTATTTATTAGTTAATTAATTGTTTAATTTACTTCAGTTTCATCTCCAGTTCTAACTACAAGACCTTTTCCACGACCTTTTGCAACAATTGTTGACATAAATGCATTTCCTTTACAATCGCCTAATGGAAGATTTCTTGTCTATATAATACAATGCAATATCAAAAAAATTATAATAAAGGTTACTTGATAATGATACAATTAAAAAAAATATAATCCCCAAAAAATAATATATAATAACATACTTTAGTCATAATTTTCTTAATATTTTTAGAGGTAGGAATACTTTCACCAGTTAAAATTGATTCAATTAATTCTAAATTAGAGCTTTCAACAATACGTAAATCAGCAGGGACTGAATCACCTTCTTCCAATATTACAATGTCACCGGGTACCAATTGATTAGAATCTATAATTGATTGTTCACCATCTCTAATCACTCTTGCCTAAATAATTGAGAGCGAGTGAGCTGAGATTTATGATTAAAAAAATATATTAATTAAACCGCAAACCTTTGGGACAGTTAATTTTTGTAAAGCTTCTAAAGCCTTATTAGCTTTGAATTCTTGTATGAACCCAATTAAAGTGTTTAGAACAACAACAAATAACAAGACACCCATTCCCTTGAAATCTTGTTTTGCCCCACTTACAACAGAAAAAACCAACAACATTACAACAATGAAATCTTTGAGTTGATTTATTATCATCATTAGTATTGATGGTTTTGGTGGTTCTGGTAATTGGTTATGGCCATAATGTTCCAATAGCGAAGGAATAGAAGTTGATGAAAGACCATCGTTTAATGAAATACGAAACATTTTTAATAGTCTTGTAACATCACGATCAAAATACAATGCTATAAAAAAAATTTTTGTTGGTTAATAAAAATAATAATAAAAATGAATTATCATAAATCATAATAAATGTGATACTTACATGGAGGAGGTAAAGCAGCACTTTGAAGAGGGGGCATTGAAGGTTTTTTTATTGAATCGGTAAATTCTTTTATAACTTTTTCAACATCATCATGATCATCTTCTTTTACCAATTCATGCCAATCTGAAAATTGTGAAAACCAAGTAGTCAACATATAAATGATAGCAACAGCAGCTTGTTTAACATCGGGATCAGCATCTTTTCGACAACGTTTATGAAGTTTAAGTGAATTGTAAAGATCTGATATATTTTTTTCACCAACTGTTTGACGAAATTCTTCAACTTTATTTTTATTTTGAAAATATTTAAATATTTATAATTAAATCTTTTATAATAACAATAATGATATCAATAATATATTAATGACTGATATTAATTAATACCTTCTTCAAGAAATTCACCAAAAAGAATGAATGCTTGGTTTGCCTCGTATGTTAATTTACGTTTTAGTAAGCCACCTTCAGACTTTCGCATGTTAAATAATAGACCTTCACATAAGCGTTTCATTATTTCATAATCTAAATTAGGAAGTCTGCCACCCTTTATACGATAGTTCATAACATATTTTAATCCTTCCAATACATCTTCTAATGATAATTGTAAATTATCTTGAACTCCAAAGAGATCATTTACTACACACGTGGATGATAAAAGTGTTAATTATATTGTAGATCAAACAATAGTAATTTTTATGATAATATTTAATGATGGTTTACCGTGAATGTCTAATTGATGTTCGATAGAAGCTTTACCATCACGAATAGATTGTAATTCAATTGTTAAGTCTCGAGACATATTCTAAAAATTAAAAAAAAAAAAATTAAAAAAATGTCTCGAGTATTTATTTATATTTTTATATTTTTGCTTTTAACTAAAACTGTCATAATGCATATAATTAGTATTGGTCGATTTGTGATGTCAAAATTACAGTCATATGAATATCATAAAACCCCAGAAAGATGATCGATCTTACAAGAATTCGCCATTTAAAGATACAAATTTTCTTCGGTCTAACATCACATGTCGTGTCATATAAATAAATTATTCAAATGAGGAAAAAAGAATCTACATATGCAGTATATACGTTTAGATGGCATTATGGTGACGTAATCTTACAATGAATGAATGAATCCAATAACAAACAATTCATTATCATTATAATTATTTATTTCATTTATTATCATTTTTTTAATATTTATTATGAAATTCTTATTGCAAGCAATGAGCTTTGTATTCCGTGAAAAAACAATGGATTGTATATCAGAAGCAGGTCACGGTGCTTTTATTATTCACCCAAATACAACGTGTTACAAAAAAAAATGGAAGTTTCTAAATGAACATTGTGTGACAACAAATGTGTCAATTCGCATAAAAAACGGCTCATTTAATAGCTTAAAATAGTTAACTTTTATTGATAAGAATTCTTTCGCTATTATTTTCAATGATTTCATAGAACGAATCAAAAATAAATTAGGAATTTCATCCCATAAACTACCAATTCTGCTAGATTTTTAGCATCATCATCTCCACATTCCTCTTGAGAATAGCACACAAATTTTTTATTGGATTTAAATTAGGACTGTTGGATGATGGCCAATCCATAACTTTGGGAAAGCTTGCTTGAAGAAATTTTTTGGCTAAGTGGCTTGTATGCATGTGATCATTATCCTGTAGAAACCACCGATCATCCCTTAACGTTCTTTGGAAAGAAACCTCTGATTCTGATAACTTTTTTAAAATATGCAATTTGATAAATGCCAAGTGAAATAGTCGTACCACATTTATAAATTCATTGAAATAATTTTTGACAAGGATCATAAGGATTTTTATATTTTTATTATAATCAGTGATTTAATAAGTGTAAAAAATGTGTACTAAACCGCAACAAATAAATTCGACCTAATCTATCAATTAAATTTTTGATTTGAATTCTATACAAAATTTAAAGAGTACTATTTTACATATAAAATTATTTTTGTTTATCTCTATTGATTAATTTTAATGCCAAAAATGCCAATAAAAACCAACATGATGCAATCAAACAAATATTTCTCAAACATTTATCATACTCGTCAAATTTATATGTAAAATTTAATGGTGCGTCGTGAATTTCATGCCATCTATTAATTGATCAAATAATTTAAACTTTATATAAATGCATGTATTTATGTAATTGTGTATGTACTTACGCTTTTGACGAAAGTTCTTTTAAATATGCGGCTTCAATTGCCCATCTTTGTGCTGAAATCTTTTTTTTTTTAAAAAAAAAAGTATTTTAATCAGATTTTTAAAGCATAATCGTAATAATGTATTCATAAATTCATTTACCTCCCATAACCAACGTATGCTTGCATAACTTGAATTAGATTCAACTTCTGTTAAAATTGGATTAGATCCTCCAAATACCAAACCCCATGCAAGTGCAAATGCTGTTCCCACAAGTCCTATTTGTTCTTTACTCACAATGATTGATATGAAATATCCTACCAATACAGATCAGATGAATTATATTATCTCATATTATCTAAAGATCAAATAAAAAACCAATCTATTTTCTTTACCTGAACCCCAAGCTGCAATATAACTTAATAAAATAATTAAAAAATGATCAGAAAATTTTGTTTCATTTGAATAAAACATTATAAATGATATTGAAAACATAAATGATGCTGCTATTAATCTTGGTATATCTGCTACGGCTTTTGCAAGAAAATACGGTATTGCTGACATTCCTGATGATATTTCGCGCCAATAAACCACTTTCTCGCAACCAAATGTTGTACTACTACCTAATGATTTCAATTATGCGGAAATAAAATAAAAATCTATGAAAATATTATTAATTAAATATTTATTTTAATACATTACCATAAATTCCACAGAATGTAAGTCCCAAAATCATAAACGTGTACAAATACTAAAAATAAATTGGGGTTTTATATATATATAGAGATCAAAAACAATAATATCATAATCTAACCATTCTCTTACTTGTAAAGTATCTAGTGGTGATTGACAATATTGGCGAAGTACCATCGGCATAATCACACATAATTCTTGTGGTGGAGCACCGATATATCTGTAGTTACTGACAGATGCTGAAAGAAATGAACCAGCAAAAAAATTTAATATCTGATCCATCACAAATCGTGTTTTGTTTCTACAAATTTGTAATAGAGATCGTTTCAACAATAATATAAAAACCGAGAAACTATTTGGTGTTTGTCGTACTGGATCATTCGAAAACATATTTTTTATAAAATAAATCAATTCAAAAATCACATCCTCAATGTATAGTTGAATATCTTTTAGTAATCGGGTGACTGGAATTATTATTTTATCTTTGATGAGTTGAATGATTGATGATGATTCCGAATTTTTTGTAGTGGCGGTGGTAATGGTGGGGGTGGGGGTTGTTGTTGTGGGGGTTGTGGTTGTGGTTGTGGTGGTTGTGGTGGTTGTGGTGGCGGAAGAGCAGGAAGAATACTGTGACGATGATAACTTTATTTCTGGTTCCATTACTATTTTCATATGACATGATTCCTTACAACTATCAATAAATGTATTTGTCTCATTATCATCATTTCTACTAATATTATTAGTATTATTATTTGCATATGATTCCCATGCTATTGCAAGATCTTCTAATGTAAGATTTGGATCATTTTCAAGTTCCACTTGACCAGATGCAATCTTCATCATAAAATCAGACGGACTTATTTAAAAATTAATATTATTAATACTATTATTATAAAATAAAAAAAAAAATAACTTGTTTATACATATAAAATCACCTCATTTCTGATGGAGATACATAGCCAAGACTTGAAAAATAGCTGATTGCATTTTCACGTACTCCATTATATATGAGTCTACCACCTTTACATAACAGCAGAAAATCATCAAATGTATTGAATGCTTGTGGCGAAGGTGAATGAATAACTGCTGCCACAGTTAATCCTTGTTGGTGCGCAACATTTTTTAGCAGTGAACAAACTTCAAATGAAGTCACTGAATCTAAACCTGATGTCGGCTCGTCCTAATTAATTGATAAGCACACAAAAAAATTTACTTAGCAACTGTTGTTATTCTTATTCTCATTATTATTATTATTATTATTTGAAATACTTGCTAGAAATAGTATAGATGGTTCCGCAACAAGTTCCATTCCAATATTTACGCGTTTACGCTGCCCCCCAGATATTCCGCGTTTTTCTTCAATAAAAATAACTAATGTTATAAATATATAGACACATAATTGATTAATAATATCCACCTACCTTCATCGCCTATACATGAATTCATAATATTTGTTAATTCTAAAAATTGAATTGCTTCAATTACTTTTTTTTTCTTTGCTTCTCGTCTCATATTTGTTGGTAGACGCATTAACGCGGAATGCTTTTTTTTTATTAAAAAAAAAAAAATAAATCTTCTTTCATAATAATAAATAATATAAACCAATAATGTTATTCACCATTAAAATTTCGCGAACTGTTAATTCACGAAGCATAACATCTACAAAATATATATATATATATATATATATATAAATAATCATCGTGTGAAAAACATCAAATAAAAAAAAATACGAAAACAAACCTTCTTGTGGAACAAATCCAACCAACTTTCGATGTTTATGTAAATCTTCAATTGCACCATTCACTTTTTAAATAATGCAAAAAATGAATTAATTGTTTTCTAGCTGGGATTGATCGTCTTGAAATAATTTTTTTTTTACCCTTTATAATGCCATTTGATCTTTTAATTTTGCCGGATAAAAGTGACATTAATGTTGTCTTGCCAGAACCTAATATTTACAATTAATAGAATTCTAATAAGAATATTTTATTTACGCGCCTAAATAAATATTTATTTACCTGATGGTCCCATAATTGCACAAGTTCTCCCGTGTTGTAAACTTCCGGTAATACCCTGTGTGTGTTTATGCGAAATAATAAAGATATTCAGTCTCTCTCACACACACCCAAAATCGACACCATCACCACCAAAAACTTCTTACTCTGATAATTTCGACGCCATTTGGTAAAGTTAGACCTATGTTTTTAAATTCAATATCGAATGTTTTTGATATAGGATTCAATTTAGTTTTTTGTGTCAAACTTTGATCGACTAATAATTGTTGATATTTTTTCGTTTTCAAGGATTCTATTCTCTCTTGAACATAAAGCACCAAAATCACTATCATTATCGCTGTAACTAAAAATAATAGCGAGCCATATTTGTTTACGGCTATTGAACCTGGTGGACAACGTGAAGCTATGCCACATGGTATTGGATCCACCGTACCAAGGCCACATTGATGACCTATATTATATATTATTTATCGGAAGGAAGGAGGAATTTTAACGAAGAAATTAAAGAGTTTGGAAAAGAATATCAATATTAATTGAAATACCTTCGGGACAAATTGTCACAAATTTCGTGTCATTGCTACAATAATATCCTTTGCAACAATAAACTGGTTGTGCTGAATTTTCGGGACAAAAAAAACCAGGCGTACATGGTAATGGAATTTCGCTCGGGCCCAAACAAAAATTACTATAATAATAATAAACAAATTTGTCATGTTTATATAGTATTTAGCCTTTGTTACACGGGATTTTAAAAGCCATTAAATAATTACCCGGCTGGACAATGCCAAACTACTGATTGGCCTGCAATTGTTATATTATCTTCTATTTGTGGTGTTGATATAAAAGTACATTGATTGGAATTACCCTTGCAAATTTATTTTGAAATTTAGAACTTAATAAAAAACTGGCTTATTTATGACTAATTTAATCTTTAATCTTCATCTCTAAAAAAATTACCTCTGTTCCTGGATAAGTTTTATTTATATAAAAATAAGAATATATCCTTGGATCTAAAATCATTTTAACATCTTCTGAGGTCCAATTTCCCGGGGGAACTGGTAATTCATGATTTTCTGTACTATTTGTTATGGTGGACATTGTTATGTTTAAAGTATGTTATTGTCATATATGATGGATTTGATTGATTGGAATTTTAATTTGTAAAGTATTATGACTTTATTTTTTTGATCTTTATTTTCTAGTCGTAAAAAAAAACAAATGAATTGAAGGGAGATTGGAATTCAGGATTTTATAAATATTATAATTGTCTCTTAAAATGTTAATAATGTAGTCAACCTTATTAAAAGACCGGGCTTTTTTCGTTTAGATAGTATGCATAGACATGATGAATATTGTTATTATATAGTAATAGGATTTACAGGGAAAACTCCACCTTTTTTAAGGGATTGCTATTTCTCACGGGTGATTTCACCGCAATATATTAATACTTAAAATTTTTTAAAGTATATTTTTATATTTATAAATATTAACACTATAATGTGATAATATAATTTACATCAAGTAACAATCTTAATATCATATTAGTATTAATATACTGAAGTTTCATCGCATATAAATAAAAAAGTTGTTGTTTACAAAAAACCTTAGTATTAGATAAAAATGAATTGTCCGAAATTTTCAGGGAAATGTTTGACTCAAAAATTGACCACAATATCCTTTGTGGTATATATAAGTACAATTCATTAAAACAATTCTCTATCTAGGTCTTCCCTTATTCAGGGAACTCTTGATGATGTAGTCTCTTATTACAGCTTAAAAATAATCTGAACCTTCCTTTTAAGAAAAATTCCAAGTTCCTTTTGTAAATGGAATTTTAGAATTAATGATGAATGTTAAAATCATTGGACCGGTTATTTCCGATTTTGTCACGTGTAAATTATTGTAAATTATTTTCAAATTTGATAAATAAAAAACTTTATTCATTATTTTTTCATATATAGAAGTTTTTGTATATCAATAAAAAAATAAAGACGAAAAAATTTTAACGTGAAATTAAATATATAAAACTTTATGATAAATAAAATTATGTCATTAAACATTGTGAATTGATTCATGAATGCTATTATTTTGGTTTAATGAAACCATATTACTTAATTAAAAATTAAATTATTAAGAAAATTTCTCCTGTATTTTTATAATAAATGGATCAGCATTTCTCTGTTATCATCAATTAAATTGCTAATAATGAAGATGGTGATGGTGATGGTGAATTAAGAAGATAATGCGCCATGTTACAAAGAAGGTGTGTGGAAAGAAGATAATAACGTTGTAGTTCTCTCCTGGCCTACTTAAATTTTTTAAGTGTTAGTATTTGCGGCGAAATCAGGGAAATATCAATCTTTATTAGTGTTCTACAAAAAAAAAAAAAAAAATCGATGATTAATTAGATGCTAATAATAGAATAATGTCTTAAAAATTTTTTCTATATTATCACCCAAATAATTATTAATAGAGAGAGGCCATACTTAAATCGGATAATCAAATCAACTTGGAAAAAATAAATAATAAAATACACCAGCTTTGAATCTGCAAACATAATTAATAACGAATTATGTAAAGTATCATGAAAACAATGATCATGGTGAAAATTCGAATAAAAATTTATGTCAGGGGGTTATTTTAGTGTTGTAAATGAAGGATGTATATATAATTCGTATTTAATTTTTGATGAAAAAAATCAAAAATTTTGTAATTGTCAAATTGTAATAAGCATTTTCAGTGAGATGGCTTGCACTACAATAAAAAACATTACATACAACAATAATTTTTGTTAGTATCATGTGCAACCAATAAAATTATTTCCCTCCTACAACAGCCCATGCGGACAAATTTCCGAAAGGTTACACCTTTATCCCTCAGTGATATATCCGTGCATTTATATTTATTATTATCCCTCGCCGTATCCTTCCGAGTACAGGAAATCGTCCGCATATGGTGCAGCATAAATACATCCCTCCATAAATGGACGCTCTCATCCATTTCCAAGGGGGGAGCACTTATCTTTTCTTTTTATTAGCTTTCTAAGAATCTTCATCAATTGCATCTTTTAAAATTTCACTGGCAATTCTATATTTGTAGGAAATGGTTTGCTAAACAATTCTCTTTTTTGCAAAGCAGCTAATTTAAAGAAGGCATTGTTAAAATTTGGGGGCATTGTAACGTTATAAAGAAAAATCGAAATTGATTTAATTTTATATAAAATTCAAACAAGAAGTACTAGGTATTGTTTTTAAACGCGCGACTTGGAGGGTTCACTGTAGATTTATTATATATTATATTCCCTTTTTAGAATGATCATCACGTTCTATATTATAAACTTTTAAACTAAAGCAAGTGTTTAATGCAATCACAGTATCACATAAATAAACAATTATTACATGGCAACAAGCTTCTATTCGCATAAAAAGGATAAACGAATAATTCGAATAATTACGAATAAAACGAATTAATTCGAATAAAAACAAACAGAACCAACAGAACCAACAAAACGAACAAGACGAATAGAACGAATTAATTCGAATAAATTGAATACTTATTTATAGATACTTTTTACCAGGAGAGTTTTTGAGAAGTAGCAAAAGAAATTTTAGTAGAATATTTATCATAATAAGAAAAAATTTATAACTACAGTATATTATTATTTATTTATTATTATTAGGGCACTGACATATGGGATTGGGGTGTGAGATGTCCTATGGTGCGTATCACCTATACTCATCAAAAAATGCCGATCAGTCAGAAGTTTTGAATGTATATCTTAACCTTATTTGGTCAAAAAAATTAAAAAAATATCATCACATGGGTTTTTATAGGGTTGTTAATGGAACATAATGGGTTGGGTTGGGTTCATATTATTGTGGAGTAAGGGTTAACCCAACCCAACCTGGGTTAAATGTATTGGGTTAATACTCCATGGGTTGCTCCGGGTTGCTCCATGGAGCAATAATTAATAGTTAAACCCCACCATTTATATCATTTTTCAGTTGGTACTTATACCCACTATCAAGAAGATTTGGTTAATAGACAAATTTCTTGCTTTGCGGAATGTTACACTGCTCCACTAAATATTATTATTATTACAAAAAACTATTACGCATTTTAATTTTACAAAATAGCAATGGTAATTTTTAATATTTTAAAATGGGAAGATAATTTTTAATTTGTAATATATATATACTTTTATATTTATTATAGGAAACTAAGTTCACTGGTGCATCTGAACTTTGAGACAACGATTTGATGACAATATTGCAACCAAAGACATACTAAAAACTTACAAACAATTGGAAGAAGGGCAAATAAATTCAAAA